GATTCCAAAGCCATTGTCTACAATTAGGATTCATATTTCATAATTTAAAATCTGCATTTTGTTTATTGACATTTAACATAAAATAGTAACAATACAATTCTTTTTTGTATTGTAAAGTTAGAAAAATGTATACATACCTTCGTATAATGAACCACAGGGTCACATCGCATCTGATGAGGGTGAAGAAAAAGAGAGTTTCATGTTCGAGGCACAGTGGCTAAGGGATAATGAATGTCCAGACATCATTCATGCAGCGTGGGATGAAGGCAGTGACATTCTCATTAGGCAGAGCTAAGTGTGGTAAGAGACACTTGTTTTCTAACCTGGTTAAGGAGTTAAAAAAAAATAAAAAAATAAAAAAAACTAAAAATGTTATCACCATGTGATTACAACACGTCCCCTAACTGAGTGCACCGTGATTACTACAGGTGTACACATTTATAGGTCACAATTTACAGAAAAATTTAAAAAGCATAGCAGATCTGTTATGAACTAATATCCCTTTGAAAACAAAGGGTGGTAAGAGCAAGAACCCTTTGTTTGTGCTTTAGTCGGGTAAAATGTTGAACAACAAGAGGTTTTTTGAGGATGTCTGCTAGTTGATCAAATGTAGGAGCATGCTGGACAGCTAGATTATTAATAAGAACTCGTTCCCTGACAAAGTAAAGATCAAGATCCAAATGTTTTGTACGAGAACGTAAAGTTGGATTAGCATTAAATGGCCACTGTGCTCAGATTATCACACCAGATGGCTAGAATTTTAGTTTGACAGATTCGGAGCTCCTTAAGTAAAGACTGTAACCACATTAATTTTGAAGCAGAGTCAACTAAGCTACGATATTCAGCTTCAGTATTCGAGCAAGCAAGAGTTGATTGTTTCTTTGAGCTCCACGAAACCAGATTATCCCCAAGAAATAAACAGTAACCAGAAGTGGAACAGCGATCATCTAAGTCACATGCCAAATCAGCATCCAAAAAACCTTAGAGATAAAGATTATCGGACTTGGAAAAATGAAGGCCATGATTTACAATACCATAGGGATATCGAAGAATGAGTTTGAATGCCTTCCATTGTGTTTTAAGAGGAGATTGTATGAATTGGCTTACTTTATTTACACAGCTTTTTTGTGGTCTGGTAATTGTTACATATTGCAATGCCCCAACAGTGCTTCAGTATAAAGTTGGTTTAATACATTAATTTAATAAAAAAAAATAGTATAAAGAGGCGGTGGATCCAATTCCACCCAAAACCATATTAATAATATACAATACACACAAGACACAAAACAAAAAAGGGTACAGAGAAGGAAAAGAGAGAAAAAAAGAAAGGAAAAAGAGGAAAATAAAGGGAAAAGAGGACGAAAAAGAAGGAAAAAAAGGGGGGAAATTTTGCCAATGTGCCATGAATTAAGTGCTCTATCCTATTAGGCTTGAATTTCTCAATTTTGAAAGGTAAGTAAAAAGTTACTTATTATTAAGTTATATTTGATTTTATAGTTGTTAGATTGTTAGGTTAAATTTAATTTTATCGAAGGGGTTAAGTGTAATAAACTATGACATTGAGTAAAATGAAAGAAAAATTAATTTTAGTAATTAAGGAGACTTTAGAAATCGCTTAAACGTGAAATAATTATGTTTGGGTATCGCCTATTTCATTATTGAAATTACTTAAATTAGTTAATTGTTGATTTAAAAATTATATTGTATTTCAGGCGGCGATACGAATATCGGGACAGCGTACCAATCGAATTGATTTTGGCGTCATAGTTTTGTGAGTGGATAAATATAAATATTTTTAAAATATTTATAAATTAAGTATATTATTAAAGTATGTGCAATTATGTGTTCGAATTATATGGTTATTAAGAAAATCTCTTTTATTATGATACATGTGGAATATCAAAGATAATTTATGGCATATTTGTGATTTTCTATGTAAGACATGTAATATTGAGATTTGTTTGGTATGTGAGACATGCAATATTGAGATCGGCCAGAAAAGTACACATGATTATATATTTCTTCAAGTTCACAGAGGGGCCTTTGCCGTGTTCTACCCTACATGGAGGGTCTTGACCTGACATTGGTCTTGATCGTGTACATATAGTTCACAGAGGGGTCTTGACCATTTTCTAGAATTGATTATGAGAGGTCTTTGAGTCGGCTTTCGTTCACGGAGGGGCCAAAGGCCCGTGGCGAAAGTTCTTAGCTCGAGAGGCGGATTACATATTTCAATCAGAGGGTACATTTTTGGTGAATTTTTCAGCACGTTTGATGTGATGAGATTATAGCATGGTTATCAGCTGATGTTATATCATNGAATATTTCACTTTTTGGCTATAATTACATGATGGTAGCTTGTGAATTATCAAATGATATGAATTTGATTTTTAATAAAAATGCATAAATGAAAAAGTATATTTATTTTGAATTTCTCCACTCACTGAGCTATCAACTCATATATTTTTCACGTTTTTCCTTATTAGGCAGCAGTTGACAATCTAGGCAACTTTTGGAGTTGAGCCTTGATTTTAGAGTTAGAGCCACACGACAGAGTTTGTTAGTATGACTCACTTTATAGAACATGTAGTCAGTGTTTTGGGACACATGTTCATGTCTAGATGTGATTTTGCATCACTTGTAGATAGTTATGGTGCTCACTATGTATTATGTATTCATATGTATATTTCATTGTATTTCTTGATAAAAGTGGAGATTTTGGCTTATCTTTATTGTGCTGTGCTATAGTTTGGGATTTATGTGAAATTAATCACAAGTTGGTTAGTCTTGTTTACAGAGGAGATAATGCCAAAATTTTGTTAGAAAAATGATGTATAAAAAGTGATATATTTTATTTGTAGTAGCCTTGATGGTGGGGTCCGACTTTTAGTTGGTATCTATCATCGGCGCATACCACGTCCGGATCTAGTGGTGTTACACGGGGCGGGGTGTGTTAGTTTGGTATCAGAGCATGTATTACAGTTCATGGGTTTGCATTGTACATGCATACATTTTGATGTTTAGCATATCATGCATAACTGTAGGTGAGTCATGCCTCGAGGTGGCAAAACTCGAAGGTTCCAAGTTATGTTGTCCTAGTCTCACATTGCTCCTAATAGAGATGAACTGAGAGAGCCCGAGAGAGTAGATGAATCAGTTCACCAGCCTCCTGAACAATAGGGATAGGGAAATATGATTGGAATTGATCCTATTGCTGTTGAAAGAATTGCTATTGTCGTTGCATCTGATATGCGTAATACTGACAGAGATATTAGTATTGAAAGGACTACAAAGTTAGGGGCTAAAGTGTTCACTGACACATCCGATCCTGCAGTTGTGCAGGCATGGATGACAAAGATAGAGAGAGTATTTGACGTTATGGGTTGCTCAGACAATCAGAAGTTGTGTCTTGCCATCTTCTTATTAGAGGAGGGTATGTATGATTGGTGGTAGTCGGTACGGTGCACATATCTAGACCCTTCCATCATTACTTGGACAGATTTTCGTTGTATCTTTTACGATGCCTATTATCCTCGGTCCTATAAAGATGCAAAGCAGGAGAAATTTCTGAAACTAATACAAGGCCAGATGACTATTACAGAATATCAGGTGAAATTTATTGAACTTTCAAAATATGTCCAAGTTCTGATAAGCAACGAAATTGATAAATGCAGACGGTTTGAAAATGGGTTAAGGGAAGAAATCAGGTCAGTAGTAACAGCTGCAGGCTGGAATGAATTTGGCAAATTAGTGGAATCAGCTTTGAGAGTAGAAAAGAGCATTTCTGATAGGTCAAATGGTAGAGAACAAAAAATGTTCAGAGCAAGCAGTAGTCAGATAATGGCAAGTGCTTCTAGCTATAGACCACCACGGAAGGACAGTAGAGGATTTCGACCTGGTGTGTCCAGTTCAGGTCAATTAAAATCTTGACTCCGAGGAAGTCAGGGTCCTAGATTCAATCCCAGTACTGTACAGTAGCCATTGGCCAGTTGTAATTATATACAGGGTTCTTTCTAGAGATCATTTACTCAGAGATAGGGAGAGAGTTCTACTAGTGCTGAATTTTCTTCTTGCCAATTATGTGGAAGATCTCATCCGGGAGAGTGTTTAAAGTTCAAGAGAGTTGGTGTTTGCTATCGCTGTGGCCAAGAAGGACATCTGAAAAGGAATTGTCCAGTTGTATTCCAGGAGGGTGGCATGGCATAGAGGATGTTTCCTCTGCAGAGTGCTGGTAGTACAAGATAGAATCAGACTCAGAGAGATGATTCAACTAACAGAGCAGGTACAAACAGTGTGACCCAGTCTAATATCATAAGCGGTAGTGGTACAAAATCAAAAGGGCAGGCAGGACGATCGAAGACCCAGGGTAAGGTTTTTGCTATGACTCAGCAGGCGGCAGAGGAGTCACCAGATGTTATTATGGGTATGTTGTCTATTTTTGATAAAAATGCTCGTATTTTGATTGATCTTGGATCTACACATTCTTCTATGTCATTTGCATTTGCTTTATATGCGAATCAAAAGTCAGAATTTTTAGGCAGTTGTTTGGTAGTGAATACCCCAGTAGGAGAATCACTATTAGCAAACAATATATATCGAGACTGTGAGATTAAGGTAAAGGAGAATGAGCTGAAGGCAAATATAATACCTCTTGACATACATGATTTCGATGTTATCTTGGGTATGGAACAAATCGAGTTTTAGTTTATTGTTTTCGAAAGGAGGTTAAGTTTAGACAGCCAGGATAGCCTAAAATTATATTCGATGGACAGCGCAAAATTTTACCTTCTTGTGTGATATCTGCTATTGACACTAGAAGATTACTCAACAAGGGCTGCCATGCATATTTGATTCATGTAATTGATACAGATGTTAGCAAACTAAAACTTGAAATATCCCAGTGGTCAAGGACTTTCCTGATGTATTTTCAGAAGAATTACCAGGCTTACCATCAGACAAAGATATGAAGTTCACTATAGATTTGATTCCAGGAATTGCACATATTTCATGGGCACCCTATAGAATGGCACCAGCAGAATTGAAAGAGCTAAAGGTTCAGTTGCAAGAGTTGGTAGACTAGGGTTTCATCAGACCTAGTATATCTCTGTGGAGAGCACCAGTTTTGTTTGTGAAAAAGGAAGATGGCACCATGCGACTGTGCATAGATTACAGACAATTGAACAAAAGTGACAATTAGCAATAAATATCCTTTGCCACGTATTGATGATCTGTTCAATCAGCTTCGAGGTGTTGCAATATTTTCAAAGATTGATTTGCGTTCTGGATATCATCAACTTAAAATCAGGGATAGTGATGTGCCAAAAACTGCTTTCAGGACAAGATATGGTCATTTTGAAATTCTTGTGACGCCATTTGGGTTGACCAACGCACCAGCAGCATTTATGGATATGATGAATAGAATGTTTCACTTGTATTTAGACAGATTTGTGATTGTATTCATTGATGATATTTTAGTATACTCTCAAGATCACGATGAGCACATAAAGCATCTCAGAATCATCTTGCAGACTCTACGTGATGAGCAGTTGTATGCTAAATTCAGTAAATGTGAATTTTGGCTCAATAAAGTTATATTTTTGGGACATGTCATATCAGCAGAGGGAATTTATGTGGACTCGCATAAAACAGAGGCAGTGGTAAAATGGGAAAGGCCTACTAATGTGACAGAAATCCGAATCTTTCTTGGCTTAGCAGGTTATTATTGTCGTTTTATAGGAGGATTTTCTAAAATTGCTCTGCCTTTGACTAGTTTGACTAGAAAAAATGCTAAATTTGTTTGGAATGAAAATTGCGAAAAAAAGTTTCCTCGAATTGAAGAATAGATTAGTGCCAGCTCCAGTTCTTACCCTTCCATCTCCTATGAAGAGTTTGTGATATATAGTGATGCTTCACGTTAGGGTCTTGGTTGTGTTTTGATGCAGAATGGGAAAGTTATAGCATATGCTTCCAGGCAGTTGGAGAAACACGAATTGAATTATCCTACACATGACTTAGAGCTAGCTGCAGTTGTTCTAGCCTTGAAAATTTGGAGATATTGCTTGTATGGTGAGAGATACCAGATATATACAGATCATAAAAGCTTAAAGTATATTTTTGATAAAAAAGAGTTAGATTTGAGACAAAGAAGATGGTTAAAGCTGATAAAACATTACGACTGCAAGATTGATTATCATCCAGGGAAAGCTAATGTAGTTGCTGATGCTCTCAGTCGGAAAATATCGAGTCCTATGACCCAGACTAATGCAATATGTTCATCTTTGTTTGGTGAGTTTAGAGCTTCTCATGCCCAATTATCAGTTACCAATGTAAGAGCATTGTTTGTCAAATTCCAAGTGAGGCCTACCTTGATTGATATAGTTAGAGAAACTCAAACTCAAGATCCAGTGTTGAGCAAATTGAAAGAAGAAGTTAGCAAAGGTAAGCATACAGATTATACCATTCGAGATGACAGAGCTTTAGTTATGGGAAATAGATTATGTGACCCAGATGATTCGAAATTGAAGGGAGATATTCTAGAAGAGGCACATAGTTCAGCTTACACGATGCATCCAGGTAGTACAAAAATGTATCGTGTACTCAAAGAACACTATTAGTGGCATGGAGTGAAGAGAGAAATAGTTGAGTTTGTGTCCAGATGTCTCATTTGCCAGCAAGTGAAACCAGATCGTCAGAAAATAGCAGGATTGTTACAAACGTTGCCTATTCTTGAGTGGAAATGGGAACACATTACTATGTATTTTCTATTTGGACTTCCACGGACTTAGAGTGGACATGATGGCATATGGATCATTGTAGACAGATTGACGAAGACTTCTAGATTTTTGCCTATTAAAGTCACTTACTCGTTAGATAAATTGGCAAAAATATATGTTGACGAGATAATCAATTTATATGGGGCACCACTATCTATTGTTTCAGATCGAGATTCTCGTTTCACTTCTAAATTTTGGCCCAATTTACAGAAAGCTATGGGTACTAAACTTCATTTCAGTACAATTTTCATCCACAAATAGATGGTTAATCAGAAAGAGCTATTCAGACTCTAGAAGACGTTACGAGCTTGTGTACTACAGTTCAAAGGGAATTGGGATACTCATCTTTCTTTGATGGAGTTTGCTTATAATAACAGTTATCATTCGAGTATAGAAATGGCTCTTTTTGAAGCACTGTATGGTAGGAAATGCAGAACTCTAGTCTGTTGGGATGAAGTTGGTGAAAGAAAGTTATTGGGTCCTGAATATGTCCAGATTATTGTTGAGAAAGTAAAAATAATTAAAGAAAAGTTAAAGACAGCCCAATATAGACAGAAGAACTATGTAGATAGACGTAGAAGAAACCTTGAATTTGATGTTGAGGATAGAGTTTTCCTACGATTGTCTCCATAGAAAGGTGTTATCAGATTTGGTAAATGAAGTAAATTGAGTCCGAGGTATATTGGCTCATACGAGATTGTTGAATGCATCGGTCCAGTTGCGTATCGATTGGCTTTGCCAACAGAATTGTCCAGAATTCATGATGTATTCCATGTTTCTATGCTTCATAAGTATATTCCAGATCCATCTCATGTTTTGGAATCACAACGAGTAGAACTAAAGGAAAATCTTACCTATGAAGAAGAGCCAGTTCAGATATTGGACAGGAAGGAACATGTCTTACATAGTAAGACTATTTCTTTGGTTAATGTTTTGTGGAGAATTCATGCTGTAGAAGAAGCGACATAGGAAAGTGAAAAGCAGATGCGTTCTCAATATCCACGACTTTTTCATACATGATCAATTGAATTTCGAGGACGAAATTCTTTTAAGGGAGTGAGTTTTGTAATACATTAAGTTTTTTTTTTTTTTTTTTAAAGTCAAACAAAAAAATAGTATAAAGAGGCGGTGGATCCAATTCCACCCAAAACCATATTAATAATATACAATACACACAAGACACAAAAAAAAAAAAGGGTACAGAGAAGGAAAAGAGAGAAAAAGAGAAAGGAAAAACAGGAAAAAAAGGGAAAAGAGGAAGAAAAAGAAGGAAAAAATGGAGACATTTTGTCAATATGTTAGGAATTAAGTGTTCTATCCTATTAGGCTTGAATTTCTCAATTTTGAAAGGTAAGTAAAAAGTTACTTATTATTAAGTTATGTTTGATTTTATAGTTATTAGATTGTTAGGTTAAATTTAATTTTATCGAAGGGGTTAAGTGTAATAAACTATGAAATTGAGTAAAATGAAAGAAAAATTAATTTTAGAAATTAAAGAGACTTTAGAAATCGCCTAAATGTGAAATAATTATGTTTGGATATCACCTATTTAATTATTGAAATTACTTAAATTAGTTAATTGTTGATTTAAAAATTATATTATATTTTAGGCGGCGAAACGGATATCGGGACAGCGTACTAATCGAATTGATTTTGGCGTACATAGTTCTGTGAGTGGAAAAATATAAATATTTTTAAAATATTTATAAATTAAGTATATTATCAAAATATGTGAAATTATGTGTTCAAATTATATGATTATTATGAAAATCTCTTTTATTATGATACATGTGAAATATCAAAGATTATTTATTGCATATTTGTGACTTGTTATGTAAGACATGTGATATTGAGATTTGTTTAGTATGTGATACATGCAATATTAAGATTGGCCATAAAAGTACCCATGATTATATACTTATTCTAGTTCACAGAGGAGCCTTGGCCATGTTCTATTCTACACGGAGTGTCTTGACTTGACATTGGTCTTGATCATGTGCATATAGTTCACAGAGGGGCCTTGGCCGTGTTCTAGAATTGATTATGAGAGATCTTTGAGATCGACTTTCGTTCACGGAGGGGCCAAAGGCCCGTGGCAAAAGTTCTTAACCCGAGAGGCGGATTACATATTTCAGTTAGAGGGTACATTTTTGGTGGATTTTTCAGCACTTTTGATGTGATGAGATTATAGCATGGTTATCAGCTAATGTTATATCATGATTTTAAGATGATATTTTTATGACCTTATGTGAATATTTCACTTTTTGGCTATAATTACATGATGGTAGCTTGTGAATTATCAAATGGTATGAATTTGATTTTCAATAAAAATGTATAAATAAAAGGTATATTTATTTTGAACTTCTCCACTCACTGAGCTATCAACTTATATATTTTTTCACGTTTTTCCTTATCAGACAGCAGTTGAGAATCTGCGTATCTTTTGGAGTTGAGCTTTGATTTTGGAGTCAGAGCCACACGACAGAGTTCGTTAGTATGACTCTCTTCATAGAACATGTAGTTAGTGTTTTGGGATGCATGTTCATGTCTAGATGTGATTTTGCATCACTTGTAGATAGTTATGGGGCTCACTATGCATTATGTATCAATATGTATATTTCATTGTATTTCTTGATAAAAGTGGAGATTTGGGCTTATCTTTATTGTGCTGTGCTATAGTTTGAGATTTGTGTGAAATTGATCACAGGTTGGTTAGTCTTGTTTACAGGAGAGATAATGTCGGAATTTTGTTAGAAAAATGATGTATAAAAAGTAATAGATTGTATTTGTAGTAGCCTTGATGATGGGTCTGACTTTTAGTTGGTATCTATCATCGGCACATGACACGTTTGGATCTAGTGGTGTTACACGAGGTGGGGTGTGTCAATTGGATTTCCAAATGGATTGCCATCAGAAGAAGTGAGAGACAAACTTGTTACCGTGGGAGTTGGTTGCTGTTTAGCATTGCTCTTCTTAACTTGATTGAGGAGATGTAATACATTAATTAATTAAAGAAAAGAATTAAAAATCGTTAGGCGGTGGATTCACATATATAAAAATCCAATTCTACACACAACACTAATCCATTTTCCACACAAACACACACAACACGAAGCATAGATAAAAGAAATAGAAAAGAGGGGGAAGAAGAAGGAAAGAAAAACGAAGAAAGTTCGCTAGCATTATTAGAAAATAAATGCTTTCCACTATTAAACTTGAATTCCTCAATTCAAAGGTAAGTAAAAAGTTAATTATTGAATATTTATATTTAATTTTAGAGTTGTTAGATTATTAGTTTAATTTCAATTTTATTGAAAGGGAGCTATGGAATTAAGTATAATAAGCTATGAAATTAAGTTAAAGAGAAGAAAGATGTAGCTTAAATGATTAAAGGAATTGGAAAAATTGCTTAAGTAGAAAAAGATTTTCAGTAACACCTATGTAATTATTAAAGTTACTTAAAACGGTTAATTGTTACTCTAAAAATTTACCATATTTTGGGCAACAATACGGAGATTCGGACAACCTAACAACCAAATTGATTTTGCTTACATAATTAAGTGAGTGGAAAAACTTAAATATTGTCAAGTATTCCTAAATTGATTATACTATTATGTTACACAAGATTATGTTAATTATTTCAGCTACATAATAATTATAAATTGTTCTCTCACCATGATGCATGGGAATTACTTGTGAAATAGAATATGAAACATATGTTTTATTGACCTCTACTACAACACTGAGGCATGTCATTTTGTTGGTTGCAAGTGAAACTTCTCGAGTGATCATGGGACTGTCAAGGGACGTACCTTTGATGATTACAGGAGGATGGGCCACTCGACTATACCTAGTTGATTATTGATTAATGATGTTGATATTACAAAGAGCTCTATATAGTACCTAGTAGGTGTATCGATGGCCCAGTAAAAATGAAAGTTTCAAATGAAAGTATTTCGAGTTTAAATTGATGATTTTCACATATCTGCTAGATGATATTTTTTAGTATTACTAGAATGATTCATATCTTGATTATTATTATTATATATGTTATATCATGACCTATTAAGTGATGTGGACTCGATTTTGATAAAAATGTATAAATGAAAAAGTATGTTTATTTTCGAACTTTCCACTCACTGAGTTATCAATTTATATAGTTTCCCGCGATATTTTTTATCAGGCAATAGTTGAGTTTTTGGGCATCTTTTGGAGTTGAGTATTTGATTTTGGAATCAAAGTTAGATGACAGAGTTAGCCAGCATGACTCATTTCATGAAGCACATATCAGTGTTTTGGGACACATGTTCATTTTTGGATGTGATTTTGTGTCGTTTGTAGATCATTACAGGGCTTACTATGTATTTTGCATTCATATGTATATTTCATGTTATTTTCATAGTGAAAGTTGAATTTTCGACTTATCTCTATTATGTTTTGTTATTTTTGGGATTAATGCATACTGAATTGCAGGTCGGTTATTCCTATTTATGGGAGAGATAAAATCAAAATTCTGTTAAACATAATTTGTAAAAAGATGCATATTGTAGTAGCCTTGATGGTGGGTCCGACCTTGGGTTGGTATCTATCATTGGCACACGTTACGTTCTGGGTTCACTAGTATTACTCGGTGTGGGGCAAGTAAGTTTGGTATCAAACCATGCTTTAGAGCCCATAGGTTTGCATTGAAGTTTGAGTTTAAGCTGAAGAAAGTGGTGGTTTTGATGAATTGGGAGAAGGTGAAAAAGATACAGTACCATTGCTCGATCCTTCAAAGTACAAGACGTTGGATGATTCGATATTCGCATCATTATCTTTTGCATAGTGACACAAACTTGGCAATTCTTCTTCTTTTGTTTTGGTAATCCGAGGAACATGAAGAAGTTTATACAAAGTAAATATTCTAGCTGTTTTAGGATCAACAATGCAACTAGAGTATATACAAGACATATCCAAATGTCAGATGTCTATCTCTGAGGTAGGACGTCTAGCAGAGGCCAAAGTATCAGCAACCATCTTCATCTTTAGAAGATATTCTCTCATTCTTAATCCCCATTTTCTTGGGAGTTTGAAGTTGCAATTTAAACTATAATATATTAGCTTTTGCTTCGATTTTCAAATATTTTTTCAGCCATTTCCCAAACATAATATATGTTGAGACACAATTAAGTTTTTGGACTTGATAGGTCAAATATTAATAATCTAATAAAATACGATCAATTACTTCTTTTTTTAATTATAGTTATTTTATATGTTATTTGAAGTAAGATATAATTTTACATATTAAGAATTTTTGGCAACAACAATGACTAGTGGATGGTCGATTTAAGTTGATACATTTTGCTGTAGAATAATGTGATTTGTGTAAGGCCTCCCTTTCATGTTTGTACTTTCGGCACTGCACGATTCCAAAATAAAACTCTTATAGCTCGTAGTCAATTCTCCTTCTATGGGCACGACCCTAAGGAGAGAAAGAACAAGCCCTTATCAATTGCCAAAATTTATAGAAAAAGATAATATAAAATGACTAGAGAGTAGTATGAAAAAATTAGAGAGTATTTTCCAAGTGTTTGATTTGTTGTGTGTAAAATAATGGGAAATCTACCTCCTTTTATAGTAGAAAAATTCAACTCTCTCATAATGGAAATTAATCAAATTCAACATAAGTTACAAATATAATAATGAGATTAAAATTTTGTATTAAATCAAAATATTAAAAACAAAAACTGAAAATTTAAAAAATTAAAATAGAAACTTGAAAATTAAAATGAAAACTGAAATTTTAATTTTCAATTTGAACGTTATATGACTTATTTTCAACGTTATAGAAAAATTCAACTCTCTCATAATAAACATTAATCAAATTCAACACAAGTTCTAAAACTTTCAATATATATATATATATATATATATATATATATATATACATACATACATACATACATACACATACATACATATATATATACTGTGTAATCTAATTTAGGTGTCTTTTGGATTGAACCTCACTTAGGGATAACAATTTCCATTTAAGAGAGCCATAATGGACTAAGCCTTGAATTACTTTAATTGCTTCACACACAGTATCGATTTAGGCTCAGTTCATAGCGGTAGCACTATTAATGGCTATGTGCTCTTATCTTGATTCTAGTAAGAAAATCTAGGGAATAGCTTAATCCCATAGCCATGACTTTATGACAACTCTTACATAGGTCAGTCTTCCAAAGGTGCATGTGATTAGCACCTCGCGAGACTTCTCGCCTCAGTACATCACTATCATGGCACTTTCACCATAGGAATGAGCACAAACAATATAGTGCTATTCCGAGTCACGCAGTGCGGGTTGTTCCTATCACATTGAACCTTCTTTATGGAATCTCTAATTATAAAGGTTGGATTACTCCCAGAGGTGACACTTTTATGGGTTTAAGCCCATCCCCCTCGATGACTCATTAACACCCTTTTTGAGTAAAGCTTTGGTTAAGTTATCTAATAAATTCTTTTCATATCTCACGAAATTCATTTCTCTTAAGTAAGACCTTAACTGACTTAAGTCTTACTTGATTATGTCTATTCATCTTTTTATTTGAGTGAGATTGATTTACAAGTTCTATTACTATTTTACAGTCACAATATATTGAAATAGTTGGAATTGATTTACTTATTAATGATATATCTAATATAAATCTATAAGCCACTCAGCATTAGTACATGTTGTATCCAATGCTTTTAACTCTGACTCTAAAGCACTCCTAGAGATAATCGTTTGTCTTTTTGAAACCCAAGATATGGTCGCACCATCTAGCATGAATATATATATCTATCAATTATCTATTTTGCATCGCTATATACTTCAATAACATTTGAAAAACTTCTACAGTTTATAGAATAATCTAATGTACCTCGGAGATATTTAAGCACCCTCCCCCAAGCATTCCAATGTTCTTTAGTATGTCTACTAAGTCTCCCATTAGCAAAGGCTAATTTAGATCGTCCTATTTGCCATGTACAATAAAGATCTAATAATTTGAGAATATTTTAATTGCAAAACTAGTTCACCTAAATTCTTCTTCAAGTGTACATTTGAATCATATAGAGTGGAAATAGGTTTATTGTCATAATATCCAAACTTTTCCAACATATTTTTTATAGCATTAGATTGATTTAATAAAATTCCTTCAGATGTTTTCCTTAACTTCATTCCCAAAATTATATGAGTTTCTCCCAAATCTTTCATTTCAAAATTCTTTGATTGTCCCAAATATTAATATGTCATCTACATGTAAACAAAGTATCACATGCTCGTTGTTATCTTCTTTGCAATATACACTTATCATGTGTACTAACTTTAAATCCATAATTTAGTATAACTCTATTGAACATATCATGCCATTATCTAGGAGCTTGCTTTAGTCCATACAATGACTTCATTAATTTACATACTCCGTGCTCTTATTCTTTGACTTTAAATCCTTCTGGCTGTTCCATATATATTTCTTCATTTAAATCACCATTCAAAAATACAGTCTTAACGTCCAATTAATGAATGATCAATTTATGAATACTACTTAATACTAA